AAACCTTATTTTCAATAAGCAATCCTGAAAAATATTTGGGGGTGCTTAACTTTTTTCCAGGTGTATACTTAAAATGAGATAAGTTTAGAATTCCTATGTAGCTAAAAAATGATGTTAAAATTGTATTTTCTAATAAAGATATTTTCAATGTTATTCGTAGGTTACCATTCACATCTAAATAATTAAACTGCATATATTAATAATTTATTCATATTAAAATTAGGTTAAGGAACTACTCAGCCAATTTTCTATCAGCCAGCGTCTGTTTGGAGAGAAAGTATTGGGACTGTCGCAAGGTTCTGTTTCTGACCTGTTAGCCAGGCCAAAGCCATGGTACATGCTTACCCAGAAAGGTAGAGAACCTTTCATTCGAATGAAGATATTCTTAGAAGATGAAAATTCTATCCACAAGCTTGTTGCCTCTCAGTACAGAATTCCTCCAGAGAAGTTAATGCACCCAGATGTGTACCTTGGAAGTAAGACTGTTCCAGGTTAGTCTTCTGCAGGTTGAATGTTAGTAGTTAGTTGTTAATCAGGACATTTTTTCATATCTTTTATTCTGTTGAAAACTAGTTTCCTGACTTTACTTTGTCTGAGAAGTACGTTAATTTGTGCATTGCTAAGCTTTCTCAAGCTACTATGATTCATTGTATACTTTCAAAACTGTTATTTGAGAAAATGACTTCATTATATTGTTAGAGTTAACAAATGTTGTGTCCTTTTGAAAACTCATTTCAATTTTATAGTACATTGTAACTAAACAGATTAGTTTGCAAGTTAACTTAATATTTATGCAATATGCGTGTATTATCTGTTTCTTACTTCTAGGGTCCAGCAAGACACTATCCCAAATTTCAGATTTAAGTATTCCTGAGCATCTACCACTGGAAAATAACTACATTCCACTTTCTAAAACTTCTGTCCCAGTAAAGCTATGCCAGACTTCTCCAGAAACTGTAGAAAAATCTTTGTCTGATTTTAACCCTAATCTAACACATTGTGTTACCACAACACCTAGTATCAGCTCTAGACATTATGTACAAAATTCTCGTCCCTATGTACATCCATCAGTGTATGAAATGGCAGCTCTGACAACAGATCTGGATACACAATCCATAACGTCCAAGGTGAAAGAAACTCTCTCGGTTCACAACATAGGCCAAAAGGTTTGTATCTCCACGAAAAGTACTCTAATCAAATATATATTTGTGATATAGCTAACCTAAGATACTCTCCCCTAAATAGGTAACATCTACTTCTGAAAGTGCTTGAGATATCGGTTACGTTATTTTGCGATATACCAATTGTTATATTTTTACATAATTTCTCATTACCATGAATTTATCAAAGTGATAAGTAAATCACAAAATATTCTGTATTTTAGGTTTTTGGTGAAGCTGTTTTAGGTCTTTCGCAAGGGTCAGTAAGTGAACTGCTGTCCAAGCCCAAACCCTGGCACATGCTCAGCATTAAAGGTCGTGAACCTTTCATTCGCATGCAGATGTGGTTGAATGACCCTCATAGTGCTGATAAACTCCAAGCACTGAAGAATGATAGGAGGGAAGGTAAGAATACATATATATATATCATATAAATAAAAAGATTTGGCTATTGTCCTTGGTTTCTCAATTACAAGGTTAATAAGGAACACTGGAGAAAATATGATTCTCAACCTAAGAGCTTAAAGTTCCTCTTATAAAAAAATATTGTAATACAGTCAAATAAAATGAGGATAGGTGCTTCTTTTTTTTTTGCTACCACTGAAGTCAGTGTAAAAAAACTATTATCATATGTTACATACAACAGACTATTAACAGTGTTATACATTTACATGTAAATACTTATGGTAAGGTCTGTATATATATAAAACAGTGTTATAAAGTTACAAGTATTTTATTACTTAATATTTTATACACACACACATATATATACCTAGATGCTAATTTTTATTCTATCTTTCAGCTGCTAGTTTACTGCCATCTTCAGGGAAGTCCTTATAAGGGCCATTTCTGTGTTGGTTGTGGCCGAAATTCTATCCTAGGTCTTTTGGTTATAAAGGCTTGTGCATTATCCACTCAACTGGGGGTGGTTTTAGGCTGATTGCATGGGCTGGTAGTTAGGGCACTCAATTCGCAATCTGAGGGTCGCGAGTTCGAATCCCCATCGTCAAATATGCTCGTCCTGTATGTTGGGATTAAGATCTTATGGGGATAAAAATTATTAACATTTCTCGGAATTACATGACACACTCATTTTTCTCTAATGTAATAAGAAAGGTATTTTTTACACATACGTGAGAACCTAACATGATAAATCGGGAACATGAAAACTGTAGTTTCATTATTGTAATAATTGTTTGTGTTTTCAGGGTTTGTGCATGCTTTTTCTGGTAAATTATTTAGTTTCTGACCATGCCGACAGTTTTATTTACTAACGGAATCTGTAATATTCATAATCGTATTCTATATCTGTAAAATATTGCGTCAGGTCACCTATATCATAATAATCTGTATTAAGAAACGTTATTTTATGGTATGTATGATAAATATATTGCTTGTTGCAGCCAACAAACGCAAAAGGAACCACCATGACACCCAGAAACTTAGCAGCCCACACAAAGAGAACCACATCTTTAAAAACAAGCTTCCTCTTCTTTCGCCGTATTCATCAGCTAAGAAACCACGAATCCTGTTTTCTGAGGAGCAGAAGGAAGCACTTCGTTTGGCCTTCTCCATGGATCCTTATCCAAGCACTGCCACCATCGAATTTTTAGGAAGTGAGCTTAACCTATCTATTCGAACAGTTACGAACTGGTTTCATAACTACCGTATGCGTCTCAAACAACAAACATCGCCAGCGGTACAGCAGAATGAACAGAAACTAAACGGTAACAGTATTCTCGTGCCTGCACTGAATGAATCAAACACTGGTTTTGACCCTCTCCAATTTCGTTTTTTATTGAATTGCAGACTAGCTGAAGTAAATAAGGAGAAGGGGAAAGCTCCAAAGATTTCTAATACGTACAGAAATTGCTCTCCTCTCATTGCACTAAACGAAAACTCAGTTATTTTAGACCCGGGCGTATCTGGACAGCAAAGTGGAGGCAGCAGCTGTAGCAGCTTTCATTCTGGTCCTTTTGAAGCTGTTAGTAGAAGCCCAGATAACCACTTAGCGAGTCATTTAAACGACTATTCCAACTCCTCTCATGATCGAGAAAATAGTGATCGCGAATCATTAGAAGAACAACAAACGTCACTATCTTCTTATAATCACCATGTGAACCAATATGGTCTGAAACGAACAGTGGCTACCTGTACTAGTAGTAATAGGAGAAAACCTGCCATGCCTCAGTGGGTGAATCCAGAACTGAAATATTCTCCTGACAGTGATGTCAAAAGTGATGACGACGAAAACGCCCAAGATGATAACACGGACAAGGGGGAAATCATCAATGGTGTCTGTGTTAGGCAAACAGGAGACTTCAATCTAGACTTATTGAAACCACAAAATACAGTTGAAGTTGAACTTGTTCCAGGTTATCTCTCACAACTGTTTCAAAAAAGAACAAATAATTGAATTTGAGGATAAAAGAAATTCCAACTCAATCGATGGAAGAAGAAGAAAAATTGTTGATCAAGAAGTCAACTGTGATAATCGTGAAAGCATTTTGAGCTTAAAAGGAATAGATGACTGGTACAAAGAAGGATATTAAAAAATACAAAAACTAACAATTAAATGTTGAAAGTGAAAGACAATAAAGTTTTAATTGACAAAAATGTTTGCCAGAGAATTCTGAATTGAGGTACAAACCCTTCATAGAAATGTTTTTTCGTTTGGTACCTGTGCGTGTTCAAAATAAGTCAGAGATGGTATTTGTTTTCTAGGCATTGAGTCAGTAAGTGTCTGACTTTGAACGAAAGTATACCAACATGAACTTATACAGCTAAACCGAAATCTTGCTATGGGAAAATAAAAATAAGTCGACACTTGTGATTCCTGCACTTTCAAACAGAAAAAAAAAAAAAAACTTCATTGTGATATTGATCTGTTAATCTTTAATACAAAATCTCGGTTCTTGGTTAATCCAAGAGAAAATTCAAACTTGTACTTTTTTTAGAAAATCGCCAAGTTTCAAGTACAGCCACCTAGTAGAAAAAATCAAGTGTAAAATAGACTTAATTTGATTCTTGACAAAATCTGTTAGCGACATGTTTGTGTTTTCCAGGTAACAACGTGTAAATTAATTACCAAAAGTTCATTATTACTCCATGTAAATACCTGAAATTGTGGTTTGAACTAGGTCAGCACGTTCTTTTAGGGTTCACTGCTGATCTTAATATTTCTTTAAAACATTACAATTTTAAGATTTTGAAATACAACTCTTAGTCTGTGTGTATTGATTTTATATTGTTAAAGCATATGGAACTACTTGCTATGATCTTGGTAGTTTTGATGATAATATCAAACTTATTTGAAACATTTCGTTGTAGAGTTTGCACGTTCTGGACATACTGCGTGGGAACTGCACAGTTCTACTTATTAACTGTTTCAAGACACTATGAAACACTGAAATTGCCTATAGATGCTTTGGTCAGATATACTTTTTTTAGGCGACACGAAGTAAGTATGGAAAGCACGGGAAAGTTGCTCACTTGTTTGACTTTGATCAGATTCTTCGAATTAGTTTCACATTGTAAATCTCTGGAGGTGTGGTCGAAGCTGACTATATCAAAGTTCATATTGGTGTTTGTTATGTGCTTTCTCAAGTTGCTCACTTGTCAATTCCTCATTCATAACGTGTCACCTGAGAATGTTAGTGTTTCCAAGGTTTGCAGATACTAAATTCTAGTCCAATGTAATTATCCAATGTTTGATACAGAAGTACGTCTTTTTTTCACGCATCATTTCGTTGTGACGAAGATTCTATCACACAATCTTTCATCATTTTTATTTTCGTTGCGACTTTTGCTGAGTTCAAAAATTAGTTGTTGGCATACTTCTCTTCCTCATATCACTCTAGATCATTTTAAGGAAATGAAATTTTTAAGAGAATAAATAGCCGCCCTATTCTAATGTTGATATAAATGCAGATTTTCGCTAAAGGGCTACAGCTAAAGAGCTGTGGTATTGATGAAAGGCCTCGTCGGCACTGGATATAGTAGTTATTGTATGGTTGACATATAATCATACACTTTACTTTCACTCAGAAGTTCTTATTAATAATTTCTAAAATAAAAGAAGAAGTATCTTATTATGGGAGTGTTTATAGCCGTACAAAAAGCCGGTTCTGGGCACATTCTGCAGAAAGTGGTTTACATTACATAATTTGTTTAGTTCTCTTTAAACCGCTAAAAATCTCACTGAACTCCGTTAGTCGCTGATGTACTCTGAATATTGATCAAAACCTCACTTGATCTGAAACTAAAGTATGGTATACATAGTTAAGGAAATATATACCGATATCATCACACATGAAAACTGATAGGGTATTTACGTGCTCGACGTAAGTCAACGTGGAATCCGAAACGTTATCTCAAAACTGAACAAAAAATGTAGGCGAGGTTCATAAACATTTTGTCCATAATACATATGTCTGATTACAAAGCTACCTAGCGTTAAAAAAGATAGTTATTGCTATCAAAAACGAGAATAAGTTATCTTTAGTTAGGCTAAAGGAGATTTTTCACATTATTGTAACTAAATGGTTCGGAAGTTAATAATTCTGAGATATCAGACATATATTAGTTACTTATACGGAAATTTTTGATGATTCGGAATTCTTAATTTTAGCCTCCATGTTGTAACCTGATACTGTATCTTAATATTAAGCAATTCTGTCAGTGGGTTGCGTATTTACTTTCGTATTTACGTTGTGATACGGTGAAAAAAGAATATTATAATGGTTACAACCGTGAAATATTGTGTTAACGGCTACTCTAAATTTTTCTGAACATTGTAGAAAAATAAAACCAACATGGTGTTATGTCACAAGCACGGTTGACCTTGCTCATCCTTCAGATGTGGGTATTCATGTATTTTAATTAAGTTACTTAGATCTATAAAGAAAGCATAATGTTGTAATTTTAATTACAATATCGTTATAATTAATACATTTCTACATTTTGTGGGATTGAGTCTATGTTGATCGAGTTCCTTGAGCATTAAAGTTTAAAGGCGAATATTATAGTAATTATGTACTGGCCATGATAACTTGTTTTACGCCCCCCCCCCTCCTTCCCACATGTGGCTCAACGGTAAGTTTAAGGGCTTATAGCGCTGAACTTGAGTTTTCGATACTTGCGGTGGACAAAACATAGCTAGCCTATTTTTTAGCTTTGTGCTTAACAACGAACAACCAAAAACTTGTTCTACAGAGTCAATACAATAAAGATATAAATAAGATATTCTCTCAGTCAGTAGTCAACACTATTATCATAATATTGTTTACTTGTTAGGAATAAATTGAATTTTCAAAATGAACGCTTCAGTACCCACAAGCCACAACTATCTGAATTTTTTGTTGTTGTTTTTTTTATAATTATCAATTATTAGAATTTTAGATTTATGGTGTTGTTGTCATTAAAGCATAGTGACTGTACTGAAAGTTTTACAGTTACTTCAAAACATAAGTTTGTGTTTTTCGTTATAAAAAATTCATGTGGAGTGTCAGAAGCAATATTTCTCTTGCATTTTTTCTGTCTTAGATCTACTTACAGGAGTAGCGAAACGATATAAATTTCGTGATCTATACCAACTGTTCCAAAAAGTGAAAATGTGTACATGAATTCCTGTATATTTCTCACCTGAGCTCCCGGAAAGCATTTTGATCAAGAATATCATGATTACAAAAAAAGATAAGTCCTTGTTCTCTACGTTAATATACTTTTATCTGCGAGCTTTCGGCCCTCTTACCGCAAGCCTTCATCGGGCAACACACAATCTACACTGTTGCCCGATGAAGGCTTGCGGTAAGAGATCCGAAAGCTCGCAAATAAAAGTATTTTAACATAGAGAAAAGTCCGTGTATAATTCTACATATTAATTTACTTACGTTAGAGTCTTAAAAAAACAAAATGAGTCCTTCTTAGACTAAGTCGTTTTCGTTCCTCGTGAATACTAAGCGTAATATCACGAGGTAACAAAAGACTTGTCAATTAGTTAGCTTTCTCGTCACAGGAACTTCTTGCTACTTAGATTGTGATTTTTCCGGTTTCGTTCTGAAATTCAAGTGGATACGTTTAACCGAATAACAAGTAGTGAAATCAGTCTGACATGAGAACATTTTAAAGAGTAGAAACACAGTTTTACCTTGATTTAGATATTTTTGTGCGCAAACTTTGCGATAATATGTTGTGTTTTATAATGACTTTAGGGTATTTTCTCTGTGTTCATTTTATATCTGAGTTTACCTTATCAGCGGACTAAATGATACTGTTTTAGCATTATGTTTGTCTTTAGAAGTGGAATCTAAAAGTTTGATTTGTTTAAAAATTATAATGAATTAACTGTGTTGACAGCTCATATTTTAGGACACAAAAAGACACATCGAGAAAATTTCTGACATTTCGTTGTTCAAGCTGTAATCATGGTCTGGAACAGTTGGAATAAAAACTTATAAAAGTGACGCACGCATAGACCAACATCAATTTAGAACGTTTCTAAATGTTGTAAACAACTTTAGCTTACGAGTTTTTTACAGACGCTTTTATTATCGAGGAAAAACTTCTTTGAAAATTGCAATTTGTGATTACTGCTTTTAATATATACTCAGATTTTGCGATTTTTAAACTTGGCTAAAAATAACCGAAACGGATTATACAATGCAGTAGTGCACAACAGGTTATAAAGTAAAAATATAGCAATAAAAATGTTAACGATTTTTTTTTTATAATTCAAATCACTTCAAGTTATGAGGACTTCTTAGGTACTCTAATGGTTCAAAATGAGAACTTTAAAATTCACTGTCTGAAATGAATCTCTTAATCAATATATATTTCTTCATTTGAATAATTTAATCCGTTGCTTACCTTTTGGTGATACATGATGCTGAACCTGTTGATGTAATTATACAGCGTATTGTGTTCGATATAAAATGTGATACCTTCTACATTGTACACACGCCACTCGTTTTTTGTTTTAAGTAATGCCTTTCAATATTCTTGTCTGTTGCCAATGCGTTTACACTTGTTGTTCGTCCACTTATTACTTCTTTTTAACATAATTACATATGTAGAGTTATGAAAATATAAAAACATGTATTCTAGATTGAAATTTTGTTCTGGTAATTAGGTACTTGAAATAGGTCATGAAATAAATGTAAAAGCAAATTTTTTTTCTTTTAAGGGCTATTTTTATTCACATGTTTTCTCTAACTCGGCTCAAAAGCTTGCTTTAAAATAAATGCTTGTAAGTTTGATATTCAAATTCATATTTTTATTCCACTTCATGACAAATAAAGTTGGATTTTCTTCTTCATTGATAGGTGTTTGTTTGTCTAAGTATTTTAGATTGTCTCCAATATTACAGGCAATTATTCTACCGTGATGAATTTTCTGTATTTTGTAATATCCACTCAAAACTTTTTTACCGGCATCTATCTTAATTACTAAAATTAAGATAACAAACAAAATAAGTTTCATGTTTTTTAATCATTTAGCGATTTAAAGTTTTTAAAGTATTTGCTGATGAAATAATATTTTCTACGTATTTTGCCTTTCTTCTTCTCAAGTAATCTGATATCTTTCACATAGTAATTCAGATCAAAACTAAATTATTTTATATTTTTAACATACAGTGCTATGCGAGAAATGTCAGAGATGGTTAATTATCAAATAACAAAGATTCAGTTTTAAAGTTAATTTTTTATCTTATCTTGTCATATGTAAAAAAAAATTAAAATAGTTTATAGTCATGATATTTTTATAAATAATAATGAATAAACAATTTAACAATCAACATAATCCAGAACAAATCCTTTAATTGCTATGGTTATAAAAGACAATATA